CAAAAATCATATTCTTTACAAAACAATTTGAAATATTACTCAATATTATATTATATTCCTATGATCAACCTAGAAATTCCCTACTATTTTTGGAATCTCTTATCTAATAATATATATCTATTCTAAAATATTTCTAAAAATCTAAAAAATTAGAAGTTTCTAGTTTTATAAATATTTAATTTGCATGATTTCATAAACAACAACTAAGTTACATTAGAGGGAAATTCTCTTTATGATCAAAAGTAACTAGGCGAGGGGCAAACTAGTATAAAAATATTTATGCTCTTAGTGAGAGAGAGTTGAGAGACCTTATCAAGCTATATACATGTCAACACATATTTAGGCGCAGGCTTAAACAAAAAATGGCCATAAGTATATAAACCCCAATCCACCTCTCCTCTTGTGCTTCACCTTGTCCTATAGTTCCAACCATTTTAATCTTTTGAGGAGAGATGAATTTATAATGAATGTTGGGTCACACACTTCCCTTAATTTGTCTTTCTTTCATGTGTGAATCTTAAAAATTTGGTGGTCAAAATGTTATATGATGTACCTTGTGAGGACTAAGGTATCTTTAGGATTATGATAATCTAGTCACTAATCCATTAATATATATCCAAATATATTGATTCTAAGATACCTAAAAAAGTCTACTAGCATTAAAGAATATGTAAATATATCTTGAAATAAAGTAATATTTCAACTTTAAGTTTAAAAAAAACCTCAAGTAAAATACAGATATAGGTATACATAGTGAATCTCATATTAGCATTCAACATCAATACTTTGTTGCCTTCGAATAATTCAAAATAATTTTTCAATAACTATTCAAACACATGTTAATATAGTCATCATGTGATTAATACATTTTAAAGAAGAATTAGTTTTAAATAATCTTTTCAAATATTGGATGTATATTATAATATTCTAATTGTACGTTAATAATTGCTTCAAGCATTTGAGCATTCTTTGATGATCAAATTATTACCTTTGAACAGTATCATTTTCGTAATTTTTAACAAGAATAAAAGTGGAGAATTTTCAGGTCAATCATAGGGATGTAATATAATATTGAGTAATATTTAAAACAAATTATAAAGAATATAATTTTAAGACAAAATAGTGAAGATAAAATATATTTAAAATTCATGAATAAGGAAATAAGGGTGCAGATGTCAAGATGACATCAACGACCTTGATGAACACAAATTGAGCGGAAATAAAGTTTTGTCCAATAATTCTTATGTAAGTGATTATAGACGAATTAATTAGTCAAATTAAGATCTATAAAAGTTAGAAGAATCTTAATTTAATCTAGAAGAGTTTTGAAACTTAAAATCATACAAAGTATCACTAAATTAAGTAAAAATTAAATTGAAAGTAGGAAAGGCAAAGTTACAGTCTCGCAACAACGATTGTCAAAATTCTATGTGTTCGGAAAGATTTTCAAACGATGTCCATGATCTCAATGGCTATCCTTAGACATGGATGATCTAGACATTCTTTGGATCTCCGTTTGAAATTTAGAAATTAGTGAAGTGGGTCGACAAATCATCTCTAGCAGTTGTCACCTAGTAGAGAGATAAAATAATGACTTTGTAGATCTCTAATGATCACTTGATAGAAATAAGTTGGATGGAGGTGTTGCTCATCTTAAGGAGCTTCATCCTCAAGTCTACATAGCAAGAGGAGGCTCTTCATTACATCTTATACACTCTCAAGAGGTGGTGACTCATTTCTTGGTGGATTATTTTCTTCTCGATGACAGTTTGTTCGTTGATCAATCAAAGATAATTTACTCTATAGATTTGTAATCTTTTTATCTGTGAATTCTGTTGACGATATTTTCACCTCTGATTTAACAATTATGACGGCTTAATCATTGACAAGCAATCTACAAAAAAATCACAATTTAATCTGATAAAAATATGAGTTTTAACTCTAATGAGATTTAAACCCTCGCTGATTGTCCACCTATATTAGAAAGACTTGAAATAGGTATGTGAATATTCTTATAAAGTTGTGTCATAAGGATATGTTATTCTCATAAATAAGGGATATTTTAGATATTAAGATCATTGAAAACCTTTTGGGAAGTTGTGAGCCTAATTTAATCTCACATCAGTTATTTTCTACATTTTGAGACATATATATACTAAAATGAGATTCTATGATCAATAAGTCTCTTTCTCATGTGTGTATGACCACTCCTTCCCCCACACTCAACTAGCCACAAGTGATGTAAATGTAAAGTGACACACATTCTTTCTACCAATCAATAGTCGATTGGGCATCATACTTGTGGCCTTACCCAACTATGATTCCAACCCATTTGCAAGCTCGGCTGGTCAATTGGTCTCTTTTTATATTTTATTTTATTTTATTTTATTTCTCTTCATTTATCTCAAAAATAAGATTATAAAAATTATATAAATTCACATAAAATCACATAATTAGTAAAAATCATATTAACAAATTAAAAATTATTTTTCATAATTTAACACAAATATAAGTTTATTTATCATGATTTAAGGCTTAAACTATATAACTAACTAATTATTAACTCATAATAATGAAGACACATCATTATTATCAAAACATCAGAACAATCATGACTCCAAAAACCAATATTACTCATGCAAAACATTTGTAGCAGTTTTTCTTCACTAAATTCAATAATTCTAACCAAAAATTATATTTCACCAAGAATACTCTTCTAGATCCACAATTGTAGGGGTCAAATAAAGAAGCGTTCAACTTCTCACTTTTAGATTTGCAACTCTAGGAGGCTAAATAGAGGAGCATTCATCTTCCCACTTCTCATTCTAAAGCTCTACGCAAGGCCAACTAGATTAACACCTAATTAATGTTTTTACGTTAATGGCTCTCAATTGGCCTATGTACTAGAAATACTTTTAAAGAAATGTGAATTACTATTCTAGACATTTTAGCTCGGTCTTCTAGAGATGAATTTCTATGTTGACAGCTCTTGTCGTTTTGGCAAGCTTTGTTATCAATTTTGCGCATTCAATGATTCTCCCTTGTGTGAGATTTGGGGAGAGCATTCCTTTTATACATATTTTTTTATTTTATAATTTTTTTTAATATTAGCAAGATGGTCTTCTCTTAGTTGGAACATGTCCCAATAGCTATGTGTCTTTTTTTAGTTGTCCTCCCTCTATTGTCCTTTTGTGCCACACTTCATTATTATTTTTTTTATCTTCAACTATATTACCTATACAAAAGAGGTATATATTTCCTATGGATAAAATTACTGTAAAATGTGGTAAACATTATATGAATCATATTACAACATCTACAATCTATTTATGTATATTCTAGGGTGACCCTAATTTTAATTTATCATATAATGTAAATTTAACTCTTGTTTTCTCAATTTAAGGGCTCTTCTGATTTTCTATAATTTATATGATCTAATAATATAGTTCTATTTTCTATGGTTATCATTTTACTCTTGTATCTATTTTATCATCATCAAAGCTATTTAGGCTTCCAAATTTAATCACTCCCTCTACTCTTCTTATGTCTTTCTTTCTCTTCTTAGGTTCCAAGTTGTTCTTCAACTCGTGCAATCCTTATCTTCCTTCTTGCTAGCTTTTAAGGCTCTATACACATGCTTATGAAAATAAACATAAAGTTAAATTTGAATTTCATGAGCCTATAGGCTCTATACTTAAGTACTCATTGCAAAGAGAAGCTATCAAGCTCTTTGCAGAAGCATCATCGGAAAATTAAGTATACATATGCAATGTTACCAATAGAAACATAATTGTACATTAGCTTAAATGTAAGTGAAACCTGACATATACAATGTAACCTTGATAAATTGAATGCAACTCTCCGCATAAGCTTATAAGGACAAAAGAAACATAGTTGTTGAATGTAACATTAGAAGCCTAAGGTGATCTTACAAAAGGTACATGGAAATAGAAGCCTATGGGTGCTCTTTATAAGTTTAGAAGTAAAATGCATGATTATAAAATTGTGCATCCTATAAACTTAAGAGCACAGAACTATACCTCTTGTGCTTATTACATAGTAATCAGTGTTTTAGTCCTTTCATATTACCAAATGGATGAAATAAATCAAGGAAGGTTAAAAGGATGACTAACTCAAGAAACATTAGCTCTTCGAGGAAGAAAATCAACTGATAAGAAGAATATGTTTTATTGTTAATGGGTTTACATCATGAAACCCAAGAACAACTTGACCTAAATGTTATTAAATTTATTTATTACATTGGCATCACAATCAGGATATATGACGCACCATAGGCTTAATTTTATGTCTGTTTTGGCATTTTTCTCATTTCTTAGGCTAACTTGACTGTCGTCTGAGATCTAAATAAATATTCACAATTTTCTCACAATTACAACGTTCTCTTCTATTGATTCCACGATAAATACATTTCCAAGGAATCACATGGTTCATTATAGTTGATATTTTATTTTTTATAAACTTTATCATGAGTGATATCATCGACCTTTTTAACTTCTTTTTCTATTTATTTTAAGTTGATTTTTTTCTCACATCAAAAACTCATCAAAGAAACGCCAAGAGAGCGTGTGAATAATTAATGGAGGGAGTTAGTCAATGAACTCATGCGGGAGTTCTTGGTGACTGCGTAAGCGGAAGCTCATAGTCTAACTGCGTCGCGGCGTGGGACACGAGGGTGCCCCGGTGGGCGGCCGAAGATTTGAAGACTCGCACTTTTCGGGTCAACTGCTCTCTTCTTCTAGTTTCTTCTTTTCGCCTCTCCTTCGTCCCCCTTTCTCTTGGCCGACAAAGCAGGCCGAATCATATGGGCAATGGGACGGCAGAGGCGTACAATGAGTAAGCAGGTATGGCATATCTTTCTCCCACAGATAAAAACGTCCTCCTGGAAGAGGATGACCGGACAAATGACTCCAACAGATTCACTTCCAGGCCTGGCTTAGCTTGCGTGGGCGAAGCCGACCAAGACTTCAGCATCATAAAGGCTACAGCATCATGACCTTGAATTCCTCAAAGCTGAGGACACCGTCGCCGTCGAGATCGTACCGCCGGATCATCACCTTACACTCGTCGACGGTCTTGTAGTCCCCGAGGCGGCGGAGCATCCGGCGAAGGCTCTCGGCGGTGATGCAACCCTCCCCTTTCATTTCGTACATGCTGAAGACCTCCCGGAGATCGCCGTCCTCTTCCTCTTCCCGGCCAACCGCCACCAGGCTCACAAAGTCGGCGTAACCCAGAAGCCCGTCCCCATCCGAGTCGGTGCTGCCCACCACCGCCTCTGCGTCTTTCTCCGAGAGCTCCTCGCCCACCTTCCTCATGCAGTTGCGCAGCTCGGAGGGGGAGACCTTCCCGTCGCCGTTCTGATCGAAGTATCTAAACACCCGCACGTAGTTCTCCAACGGGCTTTGCGGGGTTTCAGTGATTTCATTGGCGCGACCATCGTCGATGCTAAAATCTGCCGATGTCTGAGGCGGGCTCACCGGTGCTTTCCTCGCCTCCTCCTCCGTAGATGGGGAAGAGGGCCTTTTCTTAGGCGAGAAGACTCGACGCAGATGCCGGAGAAGGGAGCCTGTGGAAACTGCTCCGTGGACAACTGCCCCGCCCCCAGCAGCGAAGGAGGCCGCGGAGGAAGGACTTCTCTGACGACTCCTTGACCCATCGCCGGGGCTCAGCTCGGAAGCTCGAGCCATAGCCGACCGGGAAGGCAAGTTCAGGGAACACTGCAGCTTTCGGCCAAAGGCTCGTCGAACTGGCCTCGCTGTGGTCGGGCAGACTCGTCGCGAAGATCTCCGACGAAGGGACGGGCTGACGAGGGAGACGACGAATAGTCTTGGCAGGGGAGTAGATACAGAGGGAAAGATGAAGAGAGCCACCGTGGCGGGAGATACGATGAATCCCTGAAAAACCTTGGCCACCAACGGTTTGCTTGATTGGGATAAGTAAAGGAAGCTTCCTAGAAGCTGGATAAGCAAAGGGCCAGACCATGCCGACGCAATCTGATAGTGTCGTCAAAAAAGTCTTTATTGCCAAAAAGTCAAGCCCCTAGACGGCAAATCCGCCTCTAACTCGTCCTGAGTACTCTGCTCCAGTACACCCAACGCCATTTATGACCCGGCGGCGAGTCGAGACCCGACTTTAATATTTTTCAAAGGGCGACATGGTGCTGCACGCGGGGGTCGGTCTCTCCGCGTCCATAACGTGTCCCTCACAAGTTTGACGGCTTCACGCGGCTTGACAAGTCATGTTCTGAAGTGGACTCGGGCTCTACAATCCCAGTTCTACCCCGAACACGGGCCGAGCAGATAACCCACCACCTCAAGCCCCCCCCCCTCTATATTCCCCTATAGATATACACACGTGCAGGGAGGAAGGGAGGGCGCGGGGCGGCGGGGGGGTGGGGGGAGAGGGGGAGAGGGGGAGAGAGAGAGAGAGAGTCGAGGTATGGCAAGTGCCAGGGCGCCATGCGGGGCATCCAGAGGCAGCACTGGGCTCAGCTCTTTACGCACCTGATTAGTTATATTTTTCACATTCTCAAAAAAAAATCTAATTGGGGGGGACCAACGCCCACTTGACAACGCTCAATTACGTGCACACAATAAATGAAGTTAATCTATGAATAAACAAAATAGAAGAAGAGGGTGGATTTTATCCGTAGAATACTTTTTTAGTCAATATTTACTGTACTTACAAAAGAGTTGTACGGTACTAACCTTCTAGACGGAGATTAAATGAGACCCACTTGCCTATCATAATCAATATTGAGAGGTTATCAAAAGTTTGACTATCTTTTCTTTATCACAAACTATAGTATAACACAAGACACTGCATTTTGTTTAATTCTAAACAGCAAAAAGGAAGCCAGTCAATAAATGAAAAATACTGAATAGGTTTCAAAATGTTATATGTTCTTCTATAAATAATTATCATACTTGGGAAATTCTTTCTGAGATAGAACTATTTCACTCATCACATGCTTGGCAAAATACGGCATAGTTTTCTGCTTCACTAGTCTACTGCTTGCAAAAAAATTATGCTCTGGTTTTTTTATAGCAGAATTATGGTTAGAAATGCTCATATTGTAAATTAACCATTACTTCAACTTGAATATTAACATGATCATCAAACTGACTCTCATTAGTAAAATGCCCTATAATTTTTCATAAAACATTTTTTTTCCAATAAAACTTTTTGAACAAATCATTCACCATGGAATGTATTTTTCAGAATTTATTATGCTATCCAATGATTTCTACTAATGAAAATTATTTTTTATCATTAAAACAGGATAAAACTCATTCATATATTTTCACACATCTAAATAGGTTTCCTTGCAAAAATATTATTAAAGTGAGTAAAATAACATTAACTTGTTAATATATTATTATTATTTCTATATTAAATGCATTAAACTTGAATATCTCGTGCAAAAAGGTTTGAATCAAAATTTTATAATATAGACATTTTTTGAAATGGAGTATCAGGTTTCACAATGTAGAGGATATGATTCATATAGTCATTTTGATTTTTGTTAATTCAAAATTAGGTGTAATAAGATATATCTTTATTAATGAGATAAATTTTTTAACTATGAAAAGTGAAACATATTGATTTAACCCAAACCTTAGACGTTGTGATTTCAAATTAGGCCTTCATGGCTTTCATTGAAAGTTAAAACTTAATACCAAGGCCTAAAACAACTTCCTACTCAAATGATTTCAACTCATAAAAATCCTTTTTGTAAAATACAATGGTTTGGCAACCTTTTAAGTAGTGTCAAATTACTCTTGCCAAGTATGTTGTTAAATCACTCTATCTTCCCAAATATCTATTAAAATATACATTTCTTATATAAATGTGTATGGAATCATTCTTAGTTCGACATTTCTTTGAAAAAGCAAATGAAATTAGTCAAGCATCATTTTCGAAACCATAAACTTAAAATACAGAAAATAAAATTTTAATTAATCAAACTACCTATTATGCTTGCTAAATTCAATTGAAAACTAATTTTTTTAATTTTCTAACTACACTCTTCATATCCACTTTTTTTACATTTTTGAGAGATTTTTCTTATGAAAAATATTGTGCACACTTTTAGGATTGTTACCTCTACAACAATTTGATTTATGATGTTGTTACATTAGTGTACAATTATGGTTGTTAACAATCACCTCTACAAAAAGGTATGCCAAGAATAATGAGATGAACTATGGGTATATTTATTTTTTCCTGCTCAATTGAGTACTTCTGACCACCATTTATCTCCTCAAATATGCCTAGATTTATTTGCTACTATTTAAGTCTTTGAGAATAGAGAAGAGCAAAAACACAAAATAAAGGGAAAATTATATATTGAACTTCCTGTATAACATAAAAGGCTATCAATCATATTTCCATCCAAACATTATGTCATTTTAAAGTTAATATATTATATATTTTCTCATCCCTTTTTGGGGTTGAATTGGCACTACTTTCTTAATGTAAAAAGAATTGATGCTGGCATTGAGAGCATCAAAAAATGTGTTGACAAAGGATGATATGATAATCTATTGCTGATCCCTTTTTATTCTTAAAGTGTGAATTTTCATATATGAAATCAGGTAATTAAATTACACAAAAATCCTTTTAGGAAAAATGGTCCATATGCATAACCCATATAACTAAACTGATTTTGTTCTCTCATTTCAGCCACTCTCATTTGAAAGATAATTCAAAGAGGAATATTATTCAAGAAACAGCTTATCAAAATTTGATGGTTTCAACTTGTTACTAATTTTAAAAAATTAAAAAATGCATCTTATGCTTAAATTTTGGATGCAGCTGTGGCCAACAAGGACTGCTAATCAAGTCATTTGTGGTGACCATTATGACCCAACAAGCTAGGACAAAAAATGAGACATTCTTTCCAAAATAGGTGATGTGTACTTGTCGTTGTCTTTAAATGCACATTACCTAATAATATTTATAATTAAGACTTAATTAAATATGAGTATAAAGTTATTATATAAAGTTAATTCGTCGTGAAAACTAATTTAGTTTATATATAAAGTTATTTTAATATTTTATCACTATTTAATGAAAATAATGAAATAGAAGGATGAGGTGAGAAGAATAAAGGAAGAGGAGTGAAGAAAGGAAAGAGGAAAAGAGAGAGAGAGAGAGCTCTCACAAAAGAAAGAGAGAAAAGATCTCTCACGAAAGAGAGAGAAAGGGAGAGAATGAGAGAAATCTAACATGAGATGGAGAGAGAGAAATGCCTCACGAGAGAGAGGGAGAGAGAAAGATCAATTGAGAAAGAGAGAGAGAGAGAGAGAGAGAGAGAGAGAGATAGAAACATCTCACATGAGATAGAGAGAGAGAAAGGTCTCATGAGACAGAGAGAGAGAGAAAGAGAGCTCACGAGATACAGAGAGAAAAAAAGAGGTCTCTGATAAATCTTCATTATCATGAGTTAATAATTAAGAAGTAATATAATTTTAGCTTTAACTCATGATAAATAGACTTATATTTGTGTTAATTTGTGAAAAATAATTTTTAGTTGATTAATGTGATTTTTTGGCTAATTATGTGATTTTATGTGAATTTATATAATTTTTATAATCCTATTTTTGAGACAAATGAAGAAAAAAAAAAGATATAAAAAAAGAGGAGACCCACCAGCCAGCTGGGCCCCCACAAAGGAGTCGAAAGCATAGTCGAGATAGAGCTACAAGTAGGGCTCAAGCAACTATGGACCGATGGGGGCAAGTGTGCATCACTCCCCTTCCATGTCACTAGTGGCTAGCCAAGCGTAGGACAAGGAGTGGTCATACACACACAAAAAAGGGACTCATTGATTCCCAAATCTCAATTCGTCCCAAAATTCAGCATATAACCAGTGTCAGACTAAACTCAGGTCACATCTTTTCCAAAATGTTTTTGATGATTTTAATATTGAAAATACTCCTTATTAATAATAATGATAGACCATGATGACATCATTATATAATTGTATTGGAGAACTTATTTCTCTCTCTCTCATGTAGATAGACGACCAACACAGGTTCAAATCCTATCAATGTCAAAACTAATATTTTTTATCTGATTAAATCATGATTTTCTTACAGATTTTTAGTGAAAGATTAAGTCGTCAAAATTGCTCAATCATTGATGAAAATCTCATCAATGCGATCCATGGAGAGTCATTATTACAATTGTTGAATGATTCGCGATAAAAGAATCACTAATTCATTGAGTAAATCATCTCTAATTGATCGACAAATAAGCCATCGTTGGAAAAAGGACAATCTACCAAGAGACAAGTCGTCACCTCTTAAGAGCATATCAGATGCGATGAAGAGACTTCTCTTGTTGCACAGACCTGAGGATGAAGCTCCCTAAGATGCATCTCACCTTCATCCAACTCATCTCCATTGGGTGACAACTATGAGAGAACCACAAAGTCATTGTTTGTCCGCTCCACTAGGTGATAGCCATTGAAGATGATTCAACAACTCATTTCAGTGACCTCTATATTTTGTAAGAATATCTAAAAATTATCCACATTGTCTTTGTCAAAAGATAACCTTTGAGGCCATAGACACTGTACAATAATCCTCTCGAATGCTCAGAATTTTGACATATTGTCAATGCATTGCCATCACAATGCTAGAACTTTATGTTATTATTTTTTGATTAGTTTAACTTCCACTATTATTTTCTCAACTTCGAAAAGAAATTTAGTAAATGCTTAAGTTGTCTATGTCCAAAGAGAGCCTTTGAGGCCATAGATATCGTTTGATAATCCTTCTGAACATAGAGAATTCTAGTAATCACTATTGTGAGGTCGGAACTCTATCTTTCCTACTTTCAACTTAATTTTTATTTCATTTAGTGATAATTTGTGTGATGTGTACTTTCTAAATTATTCTTCATTCAATTACGATTATTTTGGCTTTTACAAATCTTAATTTGACCAATTAAATCATATATAATCACTTACGTAAGAATCACCAGGCAGAATTCTATTTCCACTCAATTTGTATTTGTTAGGACATTGATGTCATCCTGACATCCACACCCTTTATTTCTCTTTTTCACAAAATTTTGAGATATTTAATTTTTATTTCTTAGTCTTAAATTCATAAAAAATCGTATTCTTTGTAGAAAATTCTAAAATATTATCAGATATTACATTACATCCTTGTGATCGACTTGAAAAATTATCACTATTTTATTCAATTATAATTGATATATTTATTTAGAAATACTTTTGAAAATCTGAAAATTAGTAATTTCTAATTTTCAAGATTCTTGGACAAATATATGCTCAAGAATTCACACACGTGACATGAGGTCAACTGTGAATATCTCCACTTTATTTTAACAATTCAACACTGATTAATTAGCCTTTAATTTTGTTGCTTTCGTGTTTTAAAATATAAAGGTACTCGTTATTCGTGAAACACTATGAATATAAATATGTTGAGATTTGACTACAAAAATTAATATAAAACAAGTTGAACATAATCTTAGCTTGATCTCAGACAAGTTTCATAGGATTCAAAAGAAAAACGAAGATTATTCATCAAGTTTTTGCTAAGTTTAACTCATTTCTATCAGAACATGTACGAAGCTAAATTACTTATTGTAAAATCTAAATAAATATTAAAAACACATAAATAAATGACAAAAGTAGAAAATAAATCATTGTCCAACTTTAGTCTACCTCCTAAGCAACTAGAGACACTGGTGTGACAGCTTAGTTTCTTCCAAACATGTCACACCACACTGAAAGTCGTAAAAGTATCATCCAAAAGTGTTGTTGTGCCAATTGTTGAAGAGATCCATTGAAAGAAGGGTCAACCATGCTACCACCATTGTCTAAGAGAAGAAGAGAAGAATTGACCACTTGTTAGAAGCCTTGAGTGTAGTCAAGAGAGAAAGGAATGAGTTCACCAATCATTGGAGGTATTGATCCCGCAAAAGGAGGGAGAAAATGAATTGTTGTATTTGTGACTACCATCGAGATTTTAAAGATAATCAATAATATTTATTTTATCAAATAATAATTAATTATTGTCGTTATATCATTGGCAGTGATACATGCGAGAACTTAAGTTCTCGATATCATAACGCTTCACGAGCTACTGAATCAAATGTGCTTGGTCATGTGGCACGTTGAGCGATGCTAGATTAACCTACCATAAATGGCTGCCAATTGAGAACTTAAATCCCTAGTATTGTGGTGCCTCATTAATCATCAAATCATCATTTATGACCACGTGCATGTTAAGTGGCATCGAATTTGGAAACCGCTGATGGATTGTTTTATGCATCTAATATTGTGGTGGCTCACCCACTACAAGATCTAGCTTATCTAATGATGTGGCTCTCTGAACATCACTAGATGATGCCATGCTCTAGACAACTAGCTTGAAACTCATGAGAAACTTTAGTCTCACATCGACAATACTTCACTAAATGATTTGAATATAAATCAAAGCTACGATCTCTAAGTAGAGATCCTTTCTCTAAAAATAAAATAATGTCATTCATTATATTGAGAGAAGGTAAAAGGGTGGTCCATCCTCGCATGCACATGTGTGTGCGACACTCCTTGCTCCACGGCCAATTGGCCACTAAGACGTGGCAAGGGAGTGACGCATGTGTACGAAGCTAGTCCACTTTCCCCACTAGAGCCTGGCTTCGTGGCTCCCCCACCCGGTCTAGGTCTACCCACACTACCACAACACTCCTCTAAGTTAGTTGTCGAGTGTTGGCATGCTAACAGGTGACAATATTTTATATTTTATTCTTTTAGTTTTCTAAATAATCAAAAATTACACAATATTTTAACTTTAAACTTCTAAAATTAACAATATATTCCTATATTTATCTTGAAAGTTAACAAAATAAAATAAAATAACTAATTAAAACACAGAAAATCTAACTTTAACAATAGGGCTCGAGCAAAAGAGATAAAGAAATTGAGATGAAAAGTGAGAGAAAAATTAGTGAAAGGCTTCAATATCCACCTTCATTTGAGTCCCAACAAAAATTTTGGCTCCTTCAACACCAAGAGGCAACAAAAATTAAATGATCTTCAAACCCTTCAACAATTCCTCTACTCTAAAACTTATCTCATAAAAATTTGCAATAGTAAAGTCTATGGAAAACTAGGAGTTGAACATAAAAAATAATAACTCAATGCTCATATAGAGCCTTAATGTAGATGGGATTCATTTGTGCTATTCTTATTTGGTTTGCCTAGATTTATGAGTATATTAGAGAGAATAGGGTTTCCTCTATTTAACACCCTAGAGCCATTAATTTAGAAGCAAATTCCTAGGTAAGATCCCTAATTAGGCAAAGCTGTTAAATTCGGTGGGAGGCAGCTAAAACTTATAATTCAATATTATTGTCTTTATGAGACTAAATTATGGTCATGATAATAATGATTATGAAAAGGTAATTTAGTACATGAGAACAAATTCTATCATTAGGAAGATGTCAACAAAAGAGACAAATATAGGAACTGTGGTATTGGAATTAAAACGACCTGATTTATTATGATTTATAGATTCATTACATACAATAAGCATATAATGGTCAAATGTTATAAGTCCATATGGCTATATTTTTTAGTGGCTAGAAGACACATATATGATCTTGCAACTATTCATTAGAAAGCTAGCTTGAAGTAGAATCCAAAGCAATAAAAGATGTATCAAAATTCAAAGGTTTCAATTTAATATGAATCTTACAAGATTACAAATAAAAATTTTAGTGTTTATTTTTAGGCACTCTAGCAGTTAAGGCTCAAAGGATGTTGCCCAATAAGATACAGCCCAAGGCTCAGCCCAACATTAAAAAGCCATTGAGGCCCAACGAGTAGTGTGGCCTGATAAAAAATAGTGTTGTTTAGGATCAAGGCATCATCTAATTAGTGTGAAGATAAAAATGGTTATCTCACCTGAAATGAGGGCAAGGGAGAATTAACTAGAAATTAGGTGAGCAGGACACATAACCCTCACACTTTCATCATACTCTAGTTTCAAGGATTTTTTTGGTGAAAATCAGGCTTTACGCATCCTATTGACACTATGCATGTTAATGTTAAGCTTTATTTTCAATGCCTCAAGATTGATAAAATCACATATTGAAGAGTCATTGGTAACAACAAAGATTCTATTGTGTTATTAGTAGTTATTTATTTTATTGTGTTGAGGCACCTATGGTGCACATGCAAAATGTGTGCAAAAAGGTGGATAGAACCTTAGATTCTAATGAGGTCAAATAGACTCATGATAGCTTGTGACTGAACCACTATGGTAGAATCCATAAAAGTAGGAACATACAAAGTAAAAGTGTGGAGGTCTAGTGACCAAATCATTGTAAAAATAATGTTAAATACATATCTTGTCATGTGCATCATAACAACCACAATGAAGCTAAGAGAGAACAAAATAAAATATTACCAATTCAGCCCTCTTACCCTCTTTGTGATGTGATATCATGTAAAAAAAACCAACAATTAAGGTAAGATAATTATATTAGCATCATTTGATCAAATCTGGTGTAACACTTTTGACAGACTTTGAACACTATTCATTTCATATGAAGATAAAAAACTAAAGTTATTTCATGGTAAGGTTTTTTTTATGAATGATTGTACAGAAATTGGGCTAAGCCTCGTTATATTTTATCAACTTTTAATAGTAATAAAGTTTAAAAAATGAAAAAAATAGATCAAATAGGTAGACAAACTTTTTGATTATATACTAGAATGTTTGTAGATAGAATAAAGAAGGAAGCATTGAAGGGAAAGTGTGTCACAAAATGAGAGCAATGAAGACATAGAATCACTCCAGAAAAATGGCTTAAAAAATAGGAAAAGGGTGAGGAATCACACTAAAACTAATGAGAACAGGACAAAGAGGGTTAAATGACTTGTACACATTGAAATCCATTTGAAAGCGTATCAAGTCTAGGCCTCTATTGATCTATCCAATCATACCTCACCTATTGAACACTTTATCAGCTTGATCATAAGTAGGTCCCCATGGTATTTTCCTCGTTTTCTCATCCATGTTCTATGCCGACATTGCTTCCCCCACTTTTTAGTTCCTCACACAGAAAACATACTACAAAGTCATTCAGATTTTGAATTGTTCTCGTATGCTTAGAGGATAACATCAATACATTGCCACTATCCAAGGCAAAAATGAAACTCAAAGATTAGTCCTCCCCTTATTCAACCCGCTCTCCCCTCCTCCAGCAGCCTGTCTCTCACCACATGAGAATGGATACCCAAAAACTTGGAATACTTTGAATTATTCAAAAAACAGCAGGAAATTATACCTGTACGCTCACAATGACCCCACCTTAGAGATAGTAAGTATAGGAGGAACTTCTTACGATGGAAAATGGTGAAACGTTGAAAGAAGCTATGACGAGCTTCATTGGATCTTTTGTTGGCAAACCCCCACCACGCAGGTTAACAGCACCGCCTCCATTCAGATCACAATGCAGGCAACAACAAAGAAAGGATCCCGTCTCTCCAAAGCCACATCCACAAGAATAACAACGGAAGCAGAGAGAGAGAGAGAGAGAGAGAGAGAGATTTGCACAACCAGGTACATGCATGACTCCAGAAGAAACCTATACAAGACTCGCCCCCCAGTAGTTAAAGAAACTAAATAAACAGCAGGCGAGATTCTGCAGATCGAAGATCACAAAGCGTGAGAATTCAGCATCTCTCGGTACACCATGTCGATGAACTGGTCATTCTGTTCAAGTGGGAAAGAAAAATCAATAGATGTCACAAGCAAGCTTAAGAATTCATCTGCACCAGAAAGCAGTGAAGAGCATCTAAATCAAGACACCGTCGTAAGCAGTAGCAGCAATAGTAGCAGTTTCCACCAGTCGAGGATAACAGCAAAAGATGGCCGTGGATATTCTGAGACCAAATTGGCTCCCCCACCCCACCATTGAATTATCACAGAAACAATAGACATGGAATGGACAACTTAGGAGCAGCACGGATGAACTGAAGACACATAGAGATTGAAGAAAGGAAAATACCTGCACCAGCCTCGACAATGCATCACGCACTCTGTCCCTCGTAATGACTGACCCATAACTCGTTGGAGGCGTCAGAGAAGGGGATGGGGTTGGTGGGGGAAAGGGTTGGAGAAGTGGAGTCCCGTAAGGGCGCTGCAAGGTCACAGGCAGGAGTGGCGGCGCTGCTGCCGGCAGAGGCGCCGCCACTGGCAGCATAACCAGCCCGGATGTGGACGGAGGCGTAAAATAGGAGGGTTTTACCAGATTCGCCGTGTGACTGATCATGTTGCTGCCAGCAGAGTCAGGAGCATCCAGAGCAGATGCCAGAGAGGTGGACGAGATAGGAATGGAAGGCTTGAGAGCCTGTGCAGGGGAGGGGATCACAGCTGGAGTGAGAGAGGATAGAGAGCTGGGAGGAGACAATTGGTGTGCTTGACCAGAGATTGGGGCATCATTTCCGACATTCATGGCAGCCTGCAATAACATAAAGCAATGTTAGAAAAAAGATGCATTTTTACAAATGGCCTACTAGTCATAAAACCCGAGAGGTAAAATTGCAAGGTTCGATTACAGACGCATCCTTAATAATCATGGAGATAGATAGATCGAGAGAGAGAGAGAGAGAGAGAGGGAGAGAGAGAGAGAGCCAGAGAGTATAAGAGAGAGTATGAGAAAATTTTCGATGAATCAAGAAAATCTAAAGAAGTGAGCTCAGCAGCAACTAAAGTATGATGGAAGCATAAGATGGCACAATCAGACTAAGGTCAGAGAAATAGCGCATACACTGAAGAAGTTCAGAAAGGAATCATCAGGGACATCAGGCACACTGGCAACTGATGATGTCATTGGCTCCAAAGGGCCTTCTATCACAGATGAACTTGGCACAGCTTCGAGTTCCTCAAATTCACTGCAACAGCATAGGCAAAAGAAATACAGAGCAGCCACAAATGAGCATAGATTCGTGATGGCATAAAATAAGAGACAAGTCTCATCCAATAGTCCTCAAATGACAAGAAAATTTTGGCATTTTTTTAGCACCCTAATAGATGACTGGTGCGTTTAAAGGCCACTCAGAAAGGCAAATATCACAAAAGATCTCAAAAAGATACTACAAAATAATCTTGACCGCGGGCATATATGTGCAACTGTGCAAGCTGCAGAGATGTAGACGCTGAAGAAAACCTTTGAGGCACTTCTTGCACAGAACTACTGATATTAGAAATTTATCTTCCTTCGCTGGATGACACCCGGTTATTGAGCTACAAAAGATCATTTGCACTATCCGCTCCATTAACATGGAAGAAGATCATGGTCAGAGCCCCTTGAACTACAGCTCTTATGTATCTTGGAAACGAATCTCAGCAAGATGCAACCCAATTCCAGTCGCATGGCTCTGAGAAATATTTGCTTTTTACCATGAGGCTGTGATCTTCAAAATATAGAAGCAGCCAACTAGAGCTTTAAATTGAAGTAGAAAATGAATTTTGTCAAACTTACTTCTGCAGCATGCACACGCCTAAGTACCATTATGACCATGATAAAATTATAAGCTTTAGACAATTACCATCGAATGGTAGGTTTCAGCCTAATAGCTTTGTAAAAGCTTATTAAATCCATTTGGTATCAGCTAAAAGCCAGTCCATAATTTAATGATTTCATAACCAGCTGGCAACTTGATATCAACCCACTTCAAAGAAGTGTTAAATAGTTCACCACGAAAACTTTAGTGAGGAGAGTCAGTAGGAAGATAGACAGGGGCATGTGGCTGATACCAAATGCCTTTATCAGCAGATCAGGGGCAGTTTGCAGAGAAAATCGTCTTCATGGTCACATGGTCAAACTAATACAACCACACAAAAATCATTAACCATGATTCCAACCTTGAGAAGGAAATTCACAGAACCATGGATGTTATCATTTTCTCCATGGAAACTGTCAACCAGGGAAACCGACAGAATCCTTAAATGTGGGTGTGTTCTCCAAGGCATTTATCGTTTTACCACAGCCTATAAAAAACGGTATAGAAGCAAATACGAGGTCACAATAAACTAAAGGAATGCAAGGCCTGACCTAGTCATCAAAAGATGAATTGATTACTATGGCAATAAGACTTTGGTTTATTTTGAGGCCATGGTCTTCAAGGTGATGCCCAGAGAAAAACGCATAGCTGGAGGGAAAAGTATTTGGGGATCTAGTGAGCATACCTAAAATGTACTTTTCTTGATCACATAAGTGCCAAGGTGGTGCTGCCTTTTGGGTACCTTATTCAATAAATCATAAACTAGCATTTTATTGTCAGATTAAGCTCCTTAAATGACATTCTTTGAGATCAGAAGTCGCATACAAAGCAAAGAATATCCAATGCCAACACATTATACCACCTCTTTCAGTAGAACAACTTAACAAGATCAACTAAGTTTTCAAATCGTAGAGTTCACCAACAAAAAGATACTAAGTAGGATTAGAAAATCAGGAACCAATGGTACAGTGAAACTTTTATCAATGCATAAAACATCTCAGAGTATGAACAACCAAACTAGGGTATAACAGTAGTCCAGAGAATAATTACAAGGACAGTAGTGATAAAGTATTTGATAGTGTTTTAAAAAAATCAACATGTGAAAGTTAGTTGATCTATGGGCATATCAGCGAGAATAAATGTTGATACAGATTCAGTTACAAAATGTGCCAACACCCCTATTTAACATTGTAAGATAAAGAAAAGCTCCCACTGTGGGACAATGGAACAGCATGCCCCATCATAAATGCAACATTGTACTATGTTGTTCCCTGGAAAAAAAAATTAGCCAAGGTCACTTGAATGTTACCTTTTGGATGCAGTGGCATTAGGCTTTGGAGGAACTTTTGAAAATGCATTCAGTATTCTACAGACAAGGAAAAAGAAAATTATAAATTTTAACCAAAAGAAGGCATTAAAATGCTTATCCCATAGCATAAAAATTAACTAATGTTATAAAATTAGAAAAATAAATTGCACCATGAAATAGGTTAAACAGCAATAAAGAGAAATAATACAGTTAAAAAAAATTACGTACTACTATTATCTCCGAGATTTTGATCAGCACACTATCTCGGAAGCATTTTTAAAAAGGAGAATCTATCTCAACTATAGCAGTAGCATTAGAAGCAAGCCTTTCCACCAGGAATTTAAAACACTTATCCAAGAAATCGGTCTTAAAATTTTACCGTTAGCACAAATTGTAGGAAAAAAATGGCAGAATTCATTTCATCCCACCAAAACTTCACCAATGGCAAGATTTTGAGAACTAACACACGAATAAACAACAAAGACAGTGCAAATACGAGGATAAAAAACTCCGTGTAGAACCGTGTGCCTTATGTCTGTAACCTAGATATGTTCATCTCTTTGTCAGATTTATACCTTTTCGCATCTACTGTCCATAAACATTTTCCTTGGCTTTTATAAGTAGTTTATGGGAATGTTAATCTAGGATTACATTCTGATTTTCTCTAGCTTACTGGCAAACCCCAGCCATTCCAGACAAAGGACCAACCATACAAATGATACTTCTTAAGCTAGAAATTGCAAATTCATCTTCCAAAAAACTTTAATTCAGTGATTTTCGATCTCAATCTTCACATTTTCGGATTTATAAACTAGCCACTCAAAACCAATTTTTTCTATCCCTTGAAATCTTGTTAAACTCACACCAATTATCTTTCCAGATATTGTAAGCAGGGAATCTGGTAATATCCAACACATCCAATCGGTACATCTAGACCCAAGACATTACAAAGGAACCTGACATCAGGTAGGCGAAGATCCAAGAACTTACTCATAAATGTAGATTCATGGCACCCCAAAAACTAACTCTCAGTACTAATGATAACGATCAAGGCCTAAAAATGCCGTAAACTCTTTAGTGCAAGTCATTTAAATGATTTTGCCCTCTACAAAGTAGTGACGAGCACTTGGCCAAAGAAACTTTAGAGAAGAGAGTTTTCCTCCCTTCTTAGCCAGCTTGTATGAGTTCACACAATCATAAAACGACTCTCAAAGGTTTTCCTTAACTTTTCAAAGAGTTTACATAAAGAGGGGAAGAAATAAGTATGGTATAACAAGACAAATTCTTCCCCAGACAGCTATCAAAGAATTGAAGCATGTACCACTAAAGCAAATGGAACTAAAAATTGGAAAAGTTAATGAGAGTCATACAAAAAGTACCTAAATATGCCACACGCCATTAAAGAGAGCAGTATAAAAACACGCCTTACCTATTGAAGAGATTTGCAACTGCTTCGCATTCTTGGGAGTTGTAAAACCAAATGCCATTGACTTCTTGAGCTGCATTTCGGTACAGCAAGTATGGAACTTGAACTTCATATTCAAAGTCTCCCAAGACATCCTCAATGAGATTTTCTGATCAAAGCAGCGAATGCATAGTTAGGCCTAATATAGTATATGCCGAATGTGTACATTGATGAACAAAATTCCTTCATAAACCCAAAGTAGTCGTAGAAGGATATTCAACAACATTAATTAGCGGATATTATCCACACGTAAAAGTGTGCATAAATAGAAGAAAAATTCCATCCTTAAAAAATAATTTTTTCTTCATTATAATTATCTGGTTTCAATGGAAAAAGACTATTACGTCAACGAAAACTAACCCAATTCATTATTTCGTTAAAAAGTTTCACAAATCGATTTTTCTAGTCCATACAGATCAGAATAAATTAAAAAGAATAAAAGAACACGAAAGCATCCCTAATTAATGAGACAAGTGTAGAATCAACACAACCATATGGACATGTCATCATGATGCATAACTCTAGTTCCTAGGCCAGATAGATTCAATCATTCTCCACAAAACCATTCAGGAAGAGCCTTATATTTTGAAAACCGAACGCACATTCTTAAGCAACAACAGTGATCCTAGCACCACAAATTCTATGGAGATGAAAACCAAAAATTCTTTAAGTTATAACAAACTGCTAAAATTTTTGAACTAAAAGCAAAGGTTAGTGAAGAAGCAAACCTGTATTTCGCCTGTTCATGACAATGAACTGAAACCTGGGTTGAGCATTCCTGCATAGAGATTTCCGGTTTGCCTCTTATATTATCAGTATTCATTAAGAAAAACAAGAGGAAGCCAATTGGAAGAAAAGAACGTACATTTGGAGGACAGAAAAGTTCTCCAAAATGGCTAAGAAAATGTCTAAACGAAAATGAAATTACAGGAATCCATATCTAAAACACCAGTTGCAGGTGACAGGCATATAAAGAATGCCCGAAATCATGGCACAGTGATAGAGGATTTACGTCTAGCCCAGGGCAGAGATTCATTATTTAAAAATTCAAGCACTCTCTGTGAAGTTCGAGAAATATTTTAAAGAAAGGTTGCAAATGACCACAAGAAACAACGAACAAGCTTTCCACCAGATGAGTAGTAACTCCTTTTATAAATTAGGACGGAAAATTATTTCGAACTTCCCATGAGTCCAAATTAGCCACATTCATTTTGTCAACTAATACGCAGCCTACGAAACGGCAGGATGAAGATAAGATATAATCTAATGAAAACTCCATTTGTCGTTAAGCACTGGGGAAAACTCACCTTTTGACCACAAAGAGGGATCCCTCTACATCCTTACGGCTCTGCATGAATCACAGTGAACAAATGCGAGACAAGATTTTTATGAGAAAGGAGCAGGATAAGAATTCAACAGGCTCACTCGGAAAGCAGGGAGCAGAAAAGAAGGGGGAGATGGGATGCAGAGTTATTATCATACCCACTGGTTGAGATCGATGTTGAACTCGTACAAGGTGACGTGCGCGGCTGTGATGAGGATCTCCTCGACGAACGAATCGATCCGCTGGAGCACCGTCAGGTTGAGTGCCTTCGTGCTGTTCTTGTCCAGGTTTGGCGTCAACTTCCCCCCACCATTCCCCACACCGTTTCCCTGCCGGGACATCGTCCCTATCTCCCTCGGATCTTCCACCGACTACCACTACTCCACCTCGCCGACAGAGCTTCCTACTCTCAAATCTCAACCCTAGATAGCCCGAGACAGGAGGGGAACGTCAACGGCGGCCAATGAATACTCTCCGTTTCCTCCGCCGCCGGTGGTCCCTCGTATAGGCAGAGGACACAGAGAAAGCAAGAAGAACGAGAGAGGGGAAGAGAGAAAGCAAAAGAGGGTAGGGGGGCGGGGCGTCAGGGTGGTGCCACAGGGTTGGGACGGAGGGACGACGGCGCGGCACTGTTTACGCTCACCCCGGAGGAAATAAATAAATAAAGTCATCATATTACGTTGAGCTGCACATTAAATTAATATGATATACTTGGTAATGCTGCGTGTATGGACACTTGGGCCGGGCCCAGCCTAATCTCTACTTGGACCGGGTACCCTTTAAAAGGCCCAAGCAAGATTATGTAAGTACCTCAACGTGGCTTCTTGTGGTTACCAACGTTAGACCCAGAACGAACTTTAGTTCGACAATATGCTAAAACATTCTGATCGAAATCTTATAATAAGCTATTTTTTTATCAGCAATAAGTCCGATCATTGGGATAATACACAAGGAAGAATTTTCGGAGCAAATAAGTCATTAAATGTTCATAGCAAGTTGAACCAATGACCGAGAAAGAAAAAATATGTATTTGATAGCATCACTAAAATGGCAATCTGACAATATGTCAACGCACTTGAGCCTTGTGACCCAAATCCTATGAGAAGTTTGCTCCCAATGGTAAAATAAAATAAGAACTTCATGACAAAATAAGGCACTGGTAGTCATTAGATTGTTGAGATTGTGAGAACAAAAGAAGAACATATTATGATGTAATTAAAGTGGCTAATTGGCAGAATCAGCACATATGAGAATGTGCATGATATTTTTTGTTGATCCTTGAACCTATCACTAGTGACATTATCCAACATATTATGAATTTTACAGAAATCACACCAACTGCCCCCCCAACTTCCCCCAAATACCTCATTTCTACAAAATATAGACCACTAGTACTCCCCATGTCAAGATGTCTACTCACCCCTACCCCCCACTTCTGCTCTCTAATTGTCTAAGTCAAAAACGCAAAAGTAACACAACATTCTGGATGTTTAAGAGGACATAAAAAGCATTAAATACGTAAAAAAATGATGAAAATGAATATTTACTTCAAGCTAGAGGTGGTAAATTCAAAAGTAAGAAAGAATACTCTATAAGTTGGTTTAAGAATGCAGTCATTGATATTGTGTTAGTTGCACTATTTCGAGTATCAATAAGTTTAATAAAATAAAGTTTTTACTTTTACATATGAAAAAAATTATGGTCATTTTAAGATCTCACAATGTTTACATTATGGTATATAATGGCAACAATGTGAAACCATTGTACTAAATTTCTACATAACTTTTTCTCCAACCTACACTAGATTTACATCAAATCCAATTGTTTAGGTAAACTCTTAATTTACTCAACTTCTTATCTAGCATGAGAGTTGCATCAAATCTCCTCATATTGATGAGATACTATAATTTAATTAAAGATCTCAAATTCTTTACCTAGTATAATGCTTACATGGAAAATATAACTACTTATCTTCTTCTGATTCTCTAAGACACCTGAAAGCCAGTTGGAGGGTCAAGTTTATATAAAGCTCCAATATCTTCTTGCTTATAAATATTTACATAAAACTAGGAATTAAGTTAAAATTTTAAAAACCTCAAATCTTCAACTTGTATAGGATTTAGATTGAATCTGGCTATTGACCACACTACTTGAGGCATGAATTCTCTACATTAGATCTAACAATTGAGCTAGACTCTTAAAAACCTCAAATTCTACAAATCCTTTAATATTTATGTTACATCTTAAGATTACACTAAGCTCTTATTAGTGAAAATTTGTCAAATCTAACTATCATGGTCCATTTATTGTAAGGGTATCATTGTAAACTTTCCCCCCTTAGAATTGAGTCATTTAACCCTAAAGGGAGCCAATAGACACAATTGAGTGAAATCCACATTCTCCTTTATTTCTTTTTCTTCTCACTGCTCACTATGATATTAGAGCGAGATGATCCACTTCCTTGATTATAATATATATCAAGAGATCTATTGTAGAGAGGAAAATCAAGGGTTATTAGTGTGACTTAATCATTTTATAATAAATCACGTAAATTTAAATTTTATAAAAATAAAAAATACTATTTTTTATTTTTAAAATATTTTAGAATAAATAAAGTAATTATAATTAGATATGAAGTTTTAAAAATAGTTAAAAAATTTCAAATTGATCACATAGATGTAATATAATATTGAGTAATATTTCAAAATTTTCTATAATAAATATGATTTTTTTGATTTTTAGATAAAATAATAAAAATAAAATATATTTAAAATTCACAAAAAATAAAAATAAGGGTCCAAACATCAGGATGATGTCAACAGTCTAGATGAACATGAATCAGGTAGAAATAGAGTTTCATCTATTGATTCTTATGTAAGTGATTATATACAATTTAATTAATTTAATTAAACTCTATAAAAGTTAGAAGAATTATAATTTAATAAAAAAAGTTTTGAAACTTGAAATCACACAAGCTATCACTAAATTAAGCAAAAATTAAGTTTAAAATAGAAAAGATAAAGTTTCGACCTTGCAACACTGATATCTAGAATTATGTATATTCAGGAGGATTATTGAGCGATGTCCACAATCTCAAGGGTCTTCTTCGATATGGACACCTAGACATTCTCTAAATCTTCTTTCAAAATCTAAAAATTGATGTTGAAACTTAAATTAGTTAAAAATAGTAAAATAAAGTTCTAATGCCGTGGTGACAATATGTCAAAATCTTGAGTGTTGGGAGGGAGGGACTATCGTGCAATGTCTATGACCTCAAAGGCTGTCCTTAGACATGGATGACGTAGGTAATCTCTAGATCTTTTTGTGAAGTTTAAAAATTAATGAGGTGGGTCGATGAATCATCTTTGGCAGCTATCACTTGATAAAGTGGAAAAATAATAACTTTACAGATCTCTAGCGACTATCATCCGACAAAGACAAATTAAATGAAAGGTGGGCATATCTTAGTAAGCTTCATCCTCATGTTCGCGCAATAAGAAAAAGTTCTTCATCGCATCTTGTACGTTCTCAAGAGGTGATGACTCGTCTCTTAGTAGATCGTCCTCTTTTTTATGATAGCTTGTTTGTCGATTAATTAAAGATAATTTACTTGATAGATTTATGATTATTTTTATCTATATCGTTTGACAATTTAGGGTAAGATGTATTGTGAATCACATTAACGAAATTTGTGTTAATAATTTAACGATTTTAGTGACGTAATTGTTGATCAATACCTTATAAAAAAAATATAATTTAACCAAATAAAAATATGAACTTTGGCTTTGATGGGATCCAAACCCTCGTCGATTGCCTACCTACACAAGAGAGTGAAATAAGTATGTGAATATCTTTATAAAGTGACGTCATAAAAGTATCTCCTTCTCATAAAATAAGTAGTATTTAAGTATTAAAATCATTGAAAACCTTTTAATAAGTTGAAGTTAGTTTAATCCCACATCGATTATTTCTTGAGTTTTGAGATATATATAATAACATGAAATTCTCTAATCAATAAGTCTCTCTCTCACATGTGTACGACCACTCTTTTGCCTCACACTCGAGACTGGCTACTAGTGACATGGAAGGAAAATGACTCACACATAATCTGTCGACCCTTAGCTACTCGAGCCCACCACTCATGACTTTGCCTGACTATGCATCTAACCCATTTGCGGGCTCAACTAACCAGTAGGTTCTCTCTTTTTCTATATTTTTATTTTATTTTATTTATCTTCACTTATCTCAAAAATATAATTATAAAAATTATATAAATTCACATAAAATCACATAATTACCAAAATATATATATATTAGGCAACTAAAAACTACTTTTCATAACTTAATATAAATACAAGTTTATTTCTCATGAGTTAAGATTTAAAATATATTATTAATTAATTATTAACTCATGATAATGAAGACTTATCAATTAACAATACCTTATCTCCATTACTGATGTGCACTTGTCTTTACGTTTAAATACACATTATCTAATAATATTTATAACTAAAACTTAATAAAATATTATTTAAAAAGTAAGTCTCAAGTCGAACACAAGGAGATTGATTAATTCGTCATAAAAAACTATTTAGTTCTATACATAGAATGATTTAAATATTTTATCAATATTTACCAAAAATAATAAAATAAGATGGTGAGGTGAAAAAGAGAAAAGAGAGAAAAGAAAGAGCTCTCACGAAAGAGAGAGAAAAGTTTTTTCGTGAAAGAGAGAGAAAGAGAGAGAAGGAGATACATGTCATGTGAGACAAAGAGAGAGAAATGTCTCACGAGAGAGGGGGAGAGAAAGAGCTTGAGAGAGAGAAAGAAAGGGAGATCCATCAAGAGAGAGAAAGAGAGAGAGAGAGAGAGAGATCTCATGAGAGACAAAGAGAGAAGAATATGTCTCACAAGAGAGGGAGAGAGAGAAATAAGATGATAATTAAGAAAGAGAGAAACAAGTTAAGTTGTTTTCATGGTGACCATGGTTCTTGGATGAATGTGTACTCAAGAATTCACACACATGACATAAGGTCAGTCGTGAATGTCTCCATCTTGTTTTAATAGTTCAACACTCATTAATCAACCTTTAACCTTGCTGATTTTGCATTTGAAAATATAAAGATACTCATTATTCTTGAAATATCAGGAACACGAATACGTTGAGATTTAACTGTAGAAATTAATGAAAAACAAGTTAGACATAATCTTAGCTTGATCTTAGATGAGTATTGAAAGATTCAGAAGAAGAACAAAGATCATTCATCAAGTTTTTGTTAAGTTCTACTCATTTTTATCAAAATATATATGAAATAGAAATAACTTGCTATAAAATCTAAAT